CTCTTCCAACAGCCAGGGTCCTTGAAGTACTTCAGAGAGATGATTTTTACTGCTAACAACACACATGTAACACAACCATGAACTAAACTTTTGTTGTTTGAAGCCACTGAGAATGTATTTATTATCTAGCTCATTCTGTTAGCTAATCCTCTTATTATAAGTTTAACAGCAATGATGTCCTATTTTCCATTCCTGATATTTGCCTCACCAATTAGTCAATTTTATTAGTTACTTCAAGGAACCAACTTTAGGCTTTGTTCATGTTCATTTTCTCATTTTATTAACTGTTCCCTTTTTTTTTTTAATTTCTTCCTTCTGCTCTTTTTTTAAAAAATTTAAGTTTTCTTTACTGTTATTTTTCTAGTTTCTTGAGATACTACCTCATTAATTTTCAACTTTTCTTATTTTGTAATATATGCATTTAAGGATGTAAATTTCTTTCCAAGAATTTTCTGATAAGAAATGCCATTCCTATTCACAGGGTTAATCCAGATGATCCAGAACCTTCCACAAATAGAGTTACTACCACAACTGATAAAAAGCCATCATCCAAGTCTTCTTTATCATTGGAGTAAATTTTTATGATTTGTATATATTTTTTATGAATGTATGAAAATATATCTAAGTTTATATGTAATGTTTCCAACCCCAAAGACAAAGATAAGATTTATAAAGTTGGAATCATCAGAACAGAACCCTACTGTAAGTTGGGGACTTCTTTTATTTGCAAATAATGCCACATTCACAGGTGCTGAAATTTAGGTCTTAGACTTTCATTGGGGGAAGGGGAGTATACAAAGATAAGATTTATAAAGTTGGAATCATCAGAACAGAACCCTACTGTAAGTTGGGGACTTCTTTTATTTGCAAATAATGCCACATTCACAGGTGCTGAAATTTAGGTCTTAGACTTTCATTGGGGGAAGGGGAGTATACAGTTCAACACACAACTACATTCTGATTAACTTCCTTATATAAATCTTTCATTTTATTAATCTCTCTCCAATTGTATCAAATTGTCTGTTAAAAACATTTCAGTTTTTAAAATTTCAGTGATTTTCATTTTTTTAAAATGCTAAGGTTATTATGCACATATTTTAAAGCTATTATTTATTTCCTTACATATAGGAAAACATGGCTACTTTATATTTTGTGTTTGGTAACCACAATATCTGAATATTTGTGGGTCTGTTTCTGCAATTTGTTGTTCTTTTGGTTCTTTTATCATAGTGCCTCATTTCATCATGTTTTTAGTGAATTTTGACTGTATGTAATCCAATTTCATTCGAAATATGTGTTTGGAAATTTCTGGAACCTGGTATTGAGGTGAGTTTCTTCAGAAAGTAGGTATATTTCTGTCAGAGACTGGGTTAAGTTACAGTTTGGGACTACTTTAAACTAAATTCTAACTTTGAGAATCTTGAGGTGCTGTAAATTTGGATATTAAGCCCTCATCATAGTCATGTTATAGATATAACTTCTCAGGGGTGTTGTCCCCTTATGCTAAACTGCCAAGTTCCAAACTTATATTCATGCAACCCTCACTGTACTTCTATTTCACTCATACATTAAAAGTAGATCACTTTGGGGTCCCTGACTTAAAATGAGAAGATCTCTGTTTAGACTTCCCACCTTAGATAGGCCTTGGACTTTGCCTCCTGTACTCTTTGTCCTATGAGGTCATGAAAATTGAAGGCCAAGTTCATCTGGTTTGGCAAATGCCCTCAAACTCTTTTTTCTATGGTTTCTACCATCCCTCATTCTCTGGCTTGAGTACTCCTTACTTCCTTTTTAGCTCAAAAGTTCTTTTAAGAAAATATTTTAAAGATTTTATTCAATATGTTAGTTGTTCATAGTGAGAATTTTAGTTTAGTAACATTATTTGCTATATTATCAGAAAAAGACTGTGATAGTTGGAGATGTGTGTCAACTTGGCTGTACCCTAATTCTGAGTGGTTTAAGCAGTTGTGATGTGGGTTATTCCCATGATGAGATCAGATGTATATGTTTTGAGCAGCCAATTCCTTGAAAGGGAGTTTCCCTAGGGGTGTGGCCTGCTCCCAATATATTTATGGACATCCTGGAAAAAAGACACTCTTCTGTGGATCGGGATCCTGTTGTGCTGCCTACAACTGTCCGTGAGCGAACAATCCACCATTCGGCCTGGAGATCTTGGATTCATCATTCATTGAAGTCAACAGCCAATATACTGCCAGCCAACCTTGAGCTCGTCAGCCCCTGCAGCTGCATGAGTCAGGAAAAGCCTCCGGCTTGATATTTGAACCAAGAACTTGGGACTTGCCATCTTCTATAAGTGTGTGAGCCATTTTCCTAAGATAAATTCCTCTTTCTCTCTCTCTCTCTCTAAGCTTTACTGGTTTTGCATCTCTAGAGAACCCAGCCTAACACAAAGATAATATTGCTTTTTGAGCTAATTTGTATACCTATTTACCTAGAAAATTATCTGTAGTTGGCACTTAGATTTTTTTCAAATTGATTGCCTAGTTTTTTTTTTTTAAATCATATTCTCATGGATTTTTAAACCTGAACTGCGTCTGTAGTTATGACCTCATTCTTAATCATAATTAATTTGTATATTTTCACTCACTTTTAAACTTAATCAGGCTAATAATTTATAAAGACCGAAAAAGAATGAGCAATTAAAATAAAATGTGGTAAGTTCCATGAAGTTTCTATGAGTGTGTTATGGAAGCAAAATCGAAACTAAACCCACTGCCATTGAGTCATATCCGATTCATAGTGACCCCTGCTTGGGTTTCCGAGGTGGTATCACTATGAAAGTAGATCTCCCAATCTTTCTTCCAAGGAGTGGATACAAGGGACATTTTGTTAAGATTTAAATGGGAAGATGTATGTAAAGTGCTTACAAAGAAGAACAGCAGGTTTGGAAGATATAATGATAAATTTCATTTTGTGCACATTGACTTTGAGATATTTTTGACACCTATGATACCAAAAAACCAAACTCACTGCCATCGAGTCATTTCCTACTCATAGAGACCCCCACAGGGGTTCTGAGGTTGTAAATCTTTATGGAAGTAGATTGCCCATCTTCCTTCCATGGAGCAGCTGGTGGGTTTGAACCGCTGATACCCAAGGGAATGTCTCCTCTGCACCTTCTTTATTTTCCTCAGGAATGTGCAAAAGATGTAGGTTTTTCTACGCACTACCATTCCCATGACTTATTTTCCTTAAATGAAGATGGGAGATCGTGCACAAAACTTTGAGTGTAGAAACTAATTCTTCTACCCCTTCTTCTGACTTCTCTACATTGGATGTTGTTGTTGTGTGCTGTTGAGGCAATTTCAACTTACAGAGATCCTATAAGAGAGAACTTCCCCCATAGGATCTTTGTGGAAGCAGACTATCGTAGCTTTCTCCCATGGAGCAGCTGGTAGGTTCACTGCTGACCTTTCAGTTAGCAGCCAAGCATTTTAACAACTATGCCACCTGAGCTCCTTATTTGGGTGTTTGGCTCTGTATTAGATATGGTTTGATTTTCTGCTTGACAAAATACAGTTACTATAGCCAGGACTTATACACAACTCAAGTTAGTTGCTTCTTTTTACTCAACAAACATGGTGTGGCTGGAAATCTCTAAGATGGTGCACAAAGATCCCTAATGATGTTTACACCCTTGTGTAATCTCCCTGTGCTTATGAGCTGAACTTACTGACTCACTTCTAAGGAAAAGAATGTGCTAGAAGTGATATGTTAAGTTTGATTATAAAAGGACTACCTTTTGCTTTGGGTTCTTTCTCTCGTCTCTCTCTTGGAAGTCTTTTTATAAGGGAAGCTAGCTGTTATGTCATAAAGAAGCTGTGTGGAAAACTCATATAGCCAAGAACTGAGGCCTGCTAACAGCCATGTGAGATAGCTTGAAGCAGATCCTCTTCCAATTGAGCCTTGAGATAACTGCAGACTTGGCTGTCATCCTGATTACAGCCTTGTGAGAGATAGTGAAACAGAGTAACCTAGCTGGGCTGCTCCCAGATTCCTGACCTGTCAAAAATATGAGATAATAAATGGCTGTTGCTTTCAGCCACTAAGTTTTGGAATAATTTGTTATGCAGCAATAAGCAACTAATACATCTGGCTTGGCTGGCACAAATTAAGGTTACTTTTAAGGCTGGGATATCAGTCTGAGTCATGGAGGGTAGGTTTGAGATATAAGAATGAGAATATTATGGTTGAGATCATTAGATATTTCATTTATTGAGAAGTTAAAATAGTACATTTACAAAACCTTATCTGATAAAGTAATAACCCTGGAATTCTTCTGAATGGGATTATCAGCTAATTTATCAGAGGCACAGGTACTTCTGAGTTCCTCCATAACTATATAGATTGAAAGCTAAGAAACTAGCTAAAGTCAGGATGTGAATCATTGGATAGTTTGTTCTGGAAAGACTTAGAATAAATCAGCAAGACCCTTTAATAAGGAAATTGAAACGAAATCTCACCCTTTGCGAAAAAATTTCTCTGTCATTCTTCTACCCAAGACCCCCAGTCAAAAGGAAACAGGGTTGTGACAATGATCCAGTGAGTCTGGCCCCAGAACTCCTTTTAGCCTGACTCTTGATTGACTTTGTTGAGTGAATTGAACATGATTTAGAAACTTGAGACTGACAATGGGAAGATACCAAAATTCAAATTCTGGACCTACCTTTTGATCTTGAGCTGTTAGTGCCACAGACTATCTTGGCCTCTTGTGTCTGAAAAACCCTCTGGTATTAGTGTCACTACCTTGAGCAGCATGGGGGCTGCTGTCATGAGTATGATTGGTTTGCTGCCTGAGATGGGAAATGCCTGACCAATACCCTCAACTCTGGTTGTATGAGACAGGGACCAAACCAAGGAAGAGATGGGAGGAAGACAAAAGTGCCAGCCCAGGAGGTTATCATTTAGGGCTTCATGCTATAAGTGGTTTTGGATTTCCAGAGATAAAATAAGTCTCTCCAATACAGGGTAGTTGCAGGTCACAGCCCTAGGACCTGACTGGTCTTATCAATCTGGCAGTTCAGGGTGAGTGCAAAGGACATCCCCAGCACCTGAGAAAAGAGTTGTGAAAATGTGAGGTCTTCATAGTAGGAGCCATTTCTCCCACATCCCCTGGGATTAGCTCTAGGGAAGAAGAAACTTCCATCATGCTAAGACCACCCTTCCCTCCATTACTTATAATTTCCTCTCAGGAGTCTGTCCCAGTGCTTGAGGACAGACTAAGAGTAATGATGACAAGACAGTAGAGTATAGAGCATTGGGACATTGTTTGTTTCTTCAAGGCAGAGAAGTCTTGCTGTTGGTATAGTCAACTTTTGTTTTGTTTTGTTTATTGAACACATTGTGCAGTGATTCGTCACTACACATCCCCTATGTCTCCTTGGTTTCCAAGCAGAGAAAAATGGTTTCTCTGCAAGTTTCCTGATTAAATCTTAGCTAATCTGTAATATACATGGGTGGAGAAAAAGCACAATATCACACAATAAGAAAGGACCTAAAATTGCCCCCAATTGACTCAAACTTGCCGAACTAAGCAGATTGATTATAATTTTCATGATCAATTCCTACCTAGCATACGGGGCCACTTTTTTCTAGTGAAATGTTTAATTCATCATAGGCTCTTTTTCAGACCAGCTGAGTAAGGCCAAAGTGGGGCTCTGCTTGGGGGCTTTTAGTTCGACTGTGATGAATTAACATATATTGACAGGATATATCTTCTTGTGATATTGTTTCTATATGCCATAAATCAAAGTGGTAATAATATCATTTGCTAATTGACTGTGGGGAGCTCATATACTAGTAAAAGGAGTCAACAATTATTTAGCACATACTACATATCTGGTACTGTTCTAAAAATTTATATGGATTAATTCATTTAATCTTCACAATACTCCTATGGCTAAGTGCTTACCTGGATCACACATACACAGATAGTGATTATTCCAATATACAGGAAATTGGAGTGAAACCACGTTTTTGCTTTCACATAGCAACCCTAGAAAAAAAAAATGATAATACTGTCTTATTCAATCTTATCAGTAGGTTTATTTGGAAAGATACATTTTATTTTGCCTTACACAATGTCAAGAAATTTAGGCCAATTATTGTATGTTTATTTTCTTTGTATGGATAGAGAAACTGAGGAATGATGTAGAGAATATTAAACTAGAGGATTTCCTGGTGTTGTTATCATTACAGTGGTAAAATAATGTAAATGTCCTAGCTTGTTACCCACTGAGTTAAATTAACCCCCAAGAAGCATGCTGGCAGCAGATGATCTTTTGTTCTTTGAATACACATTGATGATTTGGGATTAACAAATGGGAATTATAGGCTATGCAATCCTAAAATTGACTAGCATTTCAGCTTCTGCTTCAATAGCCAGCAAGCCTGTGATAGCCCTACGAAGCTCCAGGTCTGGTCGATGGGTGTTTTAGTCTTCTTGCACAGATGTGAAAAATTCTGGGGACTTCTACATTACCCCAGGAAAAGGGTAACATAGGCTGAGAAGAGGACTCTAGGGACTTGGTCTAGTGGGACAACGATTTTGGCGTCTCCTCTGAGCCTACTGTGGAGGTCCAAATTAAGTGAGCAGTTTGTTTCAGAAGTTCCACCAACTCTGTCTCCCATCTCCTTACTTCTCCACTTTGAAGTTATGATACATTTTACTAAGGGGCTAGACTGTTCTATCTCCAAGGAAAGAGAGCAGAGAAGCAAGTAGAAGGAGAAGCTGTTCTACCTCAACACTACAAATTTCACGTTCAACCATAACCTACTTTTTGCTCAAGAAAAATCTAGATATTACTCTCTGCAACTTTTACACAAACTTCCTCCCTGTAATGTAGTATTTCAATATGACAAAATTCTTCATGTCTCTCTAGTCTAAATGAGCTTGTTCTTCTTTTTGTCTGATTTGTTTGGCTACATGGGGTTGTCTCCCTAGTTTTTTTTTTTTTATTCAAAGTTCTCTGCTTCTGTTTGGGAGGACTAGAACTTACACAATTGAAGTTTCTCCGATAATTAAAAGTTCAGTCAAAGAAATCAACAGGAATGATGCCAAAAACATTACCTTAACTTGTGGGTCTGAGGGGCAAGATTTTGGTGGTTCACTGGTCCAATCACTTGTGCCATTTACACCACAACATTGCAGCTAAAATCCAAACCCGAAAAAAAAATGATGTTTAGAAAGTTAACAGAAAATAAACTGTGGGCCATGGAGGGTGGGGGGTGGAAAGATGATCCCTTCAAATCTGACTCTATATCAGAGAATCCAGAATTGCCTTGATTACTACAGGCTTCTTGGAACAAAGTCCTTTCACATTCATTTATACCATTTCACTCACATCTAAGAATGCTGTGAAGTAGAAAGGGCATGCTTTATTTATTCACATTTTACATATTAGGAAAGAGGCACCTAGTGGACCTTGTAATGGCGAGATCAAGCTGACCATACCTGAATTCTATAATCGATCTTAAAATCATTGAAAGTAGGCCAGTCAGATATTATGTGCCTGCTTGATGCAATAGGAAGTACCATCTATGAAGGTTCTTGGCCAAAAACTGAGCATTCATCATTCCTCTAGATTTAAGGGTTTATGGGAGATAAGTCTCCACAACACCACAATTCCTTAAGGAAGCAACTAGCCAGATGCAGGAAGTAGGAAATTCTACAGGACAAATTTCTTTCCACAAATGAATAGCATGAGTAGAGAAGACAATTATTATAGACTTAAAGAGATTTAAAAGACATATTATCCAAACATAACATGTGAACATTGTTTGGATTTTGATTGGAACAAACCAGTTAAAAATGTTTTTCAGAAAATGAAGGAAATTTGATTATGGACAATTTATGAGTTGATGTTAAGGAATTATTGTAAATTTTTTACTGCTGTTAAGTCAGTCCTGACTCGTGACATCCTATACAACAAAATAGAACTGCCCCACAAGTTTTCAAGGCTATAATCTTTATGGAAGCAGACTGTCACATCTTTGTCCCATGGAGTGGATGGTGGGTTTGAATTGCCAACCTTTTGGTTAGCAGCCAGTGCTTAACCACTGTGCCACTGTAAATGTTGAAGCTAAGTGATATGGATGTGGAGATCCAGTTTGCTACTCTTCTCTTTATTTTTGTATATGCCTAAAAATCCTAAAATAAAATGCTTTATATATAGCATTGAGGAAAAAAAAATTGGGGATCCATGGAGATTAAGTGACTTGCCCGAAGTTTACCTCTGCTGGCTTCTGAGCTCTAATTCCTGGGCTATTTCTCCTACTCTGCACTAAGCAGGCATGCCGAAGCCATGACTATAGCTCCATGTGATCAGAGCAGTAGTGTTTGTGACACAGACTGTGCTGGTACCAGGCTGGCTCTACTAATTCCATCTTTATCCCCCATCACCATTCACCACCAAGGCAGGAATGCAGGGTTCTACATGCATGTTTGTGGGTGGGGAAGGGCCATAAGAAATGTAATGCAAGTACAAGTCTGGTTGGGGCTACTCAGGAATTCAATAGAGATTTCTTATATGATATGATTTTTACAGTAAAATCGGAAAGTATATAAATTAATCCAGTGTTACATGTTTAAGTCTTCTTTACATCCTAGCAAGGCTTTAACAGGGAGCTCTGGTAGCATAGTGGCTAAGACACTTGCCTGCTAACCAGACGGCTGGCAGTTCAAACCCACCAGCCACTCCCCGGAAGGAAGTTTGGGCAATCCTACTTCCGTAGTGATACTGCTTAGGAAACCCAAGGAGGGGTCGCTATGAGTCAGGTATGACTCGATGGCACATAACAACAACAACAATAAGGCTTTAACAATGCACCTATCTCAGTTGATGAAGGATGAAAGAGAGAATATGGAGAACTTGGTATCAGTCAGATTGATTCCTGTTTGTTTGTGATGCCATAGCATTATTCTGGGCCTCAGCGCTGTGGATCTTAGATTCTGAAACTTCCAGGAAAGGAAAGCTAAGCTCTGTACTCACAAATGACTGGATGGAGTCCCATGCTGCCTTGGTGCTGTTATCCGAGTTGTAGCGCAGTATGCTGTCACTCAGGCCCTCAGACACATAGTCACTCAGCTGAGTAGGTGCATTCCAGCAGTGGAGACATTGTAAAAAGTGAGTTCAAGGAATAAGTAATTTGTAGGACTCAAAAGTTAAGTTTAGTATATTCTACTGGTTCAATTCTTCCCTCCTCTCCAAATTTTCTCCTCAGTGCTAAGAAAGTGAAGGGAGTGAGAATGTATATAGGAAGATGAGCTAAAGGTGAGATGGCATGGAAGTATGATTCTGGCCTCTTCAGAACTCTGGTTTACACTGGAGAAAATGGAGCTATCAAAACATGGGCTCCCCTTAGGCACCGAAACAGACATTCCCTATGGTCAAGCAGTGAGAAAACTAGTTATAGGAGATAAACTGGCTTTTACTATTCTTCCCATTCATCCTGCAAGGTATCACTCAAATAAATTCTCTTTCATGAGTTTTTTTCTCTCCCCAATTACAATTAATCTCTCTTTCTTCCAGACTTCCTCTTCTACTATAGCGTTGATTCTACACCAAATTCTTCTCCACCACACACTCCCCAATTTCAGCAATGACACAATGAGTTGTTTTCTTTATAACATACCTTCTTTTCATACATAAAGAGCAGGATGGCCAAGGTCACCTCAGTAAGGAGGATAATCAGCAGCAGGACAAAGAACTGTGGCAAAGGAGAGACATGCTCACAACACGGGGACCTAAGGCATCACCTCTCCCCACTTAGGACATCACATCTGCTGCTAGGGACTCACCGACATAAGCAGGCACTTATTCTCCTTGATGGAGCCCATGCAACCCATGAAGGCAACCACCACTATAATGGATCCCACGATGACGAGCACATTGCCCAATGTGAGGAAAGGGAGGTTGTGGAAGAGCACCCCAAATTTGTTGTGAATCAGGAGGTAGATCCCAAATCCCAAAATGCAGCAGCCACAGAGCTAAAAGAAAGAATCCCACAACATTCTGAGGAAAAATATGGTTCCGGTTCTTGAATATTTCCTTATATTTTCACTTGCTTTAGATCAGAATCACCTTTTTCCATTAACTCTATCAAGACTTTCATGAACAAACTACTTACCAGCTTCTCCATGCTCCTGAAAGTGAGGCAATCCCAGTTTCCTCCTGTGGAAACTCATACTTTATCCTACTCATTTCCAAATACCAGGAAAATTTTACTGTTGAGCTACATGGTACTTCACCATATAGCAGGTCTAACTTATGCTTCAGATCTCCTATTCCTGGTTCCCTCCAGGACTCACATGACTTTCCCTTTGGAATCTGTGACCATATAGAGGGGCCCCACTGCTTGAGGAAGATCATCTTACGAGGCAGTCTGCTAGAGAACCCAAACTTTTAAGAATCTTCTAACATACAAATGAGTACCAAGCCATCCTGTATCTGACACCATAAAACTGCCTTAGGAAGAATGACTATCATTTCATTTAGCCATTTTTCCAAGTGTTCCACACACACCCAAAAAGTTGTGTCCAGATATAAGGATTGTGCAGTCTCAGGTTCCTTACCATAGCTACTGGTAGCCAAAATCCCTAAGAGAGGAATGGCACACTGGTATCTTTAAAATTTGCAGGGTTATACTGTGGCAAGACAGGGGGGGAGGAAGAAATTATTATTTCTTTTCTCTTAATCGAAGTATGCCCCACATGGCCCAGATATAGATTATACTTCACCATCAGGCTATTCAGTAGACAGCAGTAGTGCTTAAGTGGGGAACTGTGAGCTCAGCCATGCTCAGAAGAGACACACTTACCCAAAAGAACAAGTTGAAGAAAAACAGGATATACTTCAGCAATTTCAAGCTACTTATGCCCATGCTGGATATTCTTGTCCTGAAGATTAGAAGGAAGAGAGAAAATCAGTAATGTAACTACAAGGTAACATGGGACATCAGAGGACATAAATGTTCAAGGTTCAAGTATTGTCAACATCACCTTAGGTTTAAGCTGTGGCTATGTTCTAGAAAGTTTTCCCCAACTCCCTTCTCTCACAGTCTGAGTTGAGCTATCAATTTGTTTATTCTGGACACTCTTTTGCAAATCAAAGATGCTTAACATTGAATAAAGCAGCATAAAAGACAAGGAAGAGTCACAGTGGCATACACCAAGGACAGCAAGCACTTTCGGGTCCATGTGCAGCATCAGTGACTAATGCCTGGGTACATATTTAGAAAAGTAGCTTTTAAGGTCAGAGGTAGGCTGGCCAATAGGTTGTGGAAAAACCTATGGCCTGATCAGCCAGTCCCTCCAATACTTTAAGATGCTTATACTTACTATGTCTGGTCTGACCTCTCTCTTGTTTAAATGAAAATAAGTGGAACATAGCTATGCATCATTCATTCTATTGCTGAAGAAAATGTTCATGGCATTTTCTGTTCTACATGCTGTGGTAGATACAACCATGTCTAATTAACTGCCATTGTCCTAAAGCTGACAATCTCACAGCTGAGATAAAAGCAGACCAACAAAAATCCAACTGATTTGTGTGTGTGTACGTGTGTATAATTATTATTTTTTAGAAATACCGTATCATTTTATTTGTGAGGACATCAATACCCAGTGTCTGGTCCTCAATTCTAGAGATCTAGATACACAGTTTTCAACTTTCATAGGTAATGAGGTTTGGTGGAGTTACATATTTAAAAACTGCACATGAGACTGATATATAAAGCAAAATGTCAACTTACTGAGTTTGTGTGTGTGTGTGTGTATTTATGTGTTTATTTGAACTGTGCCTTTTGCTGTACATGGATTTGTTGTACAATCTATAGTACTCTCTTTGCAGTGTTAAGGTACCCAGGAATTAGATGATCTCTAGAGTATGGATAAACTTGATGAGCTACTTGATTCACTAGAGAGTTCCCTACTAAAAAGACCAGATGGTCAAAACATACGTTGAAATCCTAATCCCTGTATCTGTGCATGTGACTTTGCTTGGAGATAGGATTTTTTTTCTTAATGTTAATGAGGTATCTTCGAAGTGGGTCTTACAAAAAGGGAAAATAGATAAGGAAAGAGAGACGCACACACATAGGGGGAAGAGACCATTGGAAGAATCCTCTATGAGTCAACAAATGCTAAAGAACATGCAGGGCTACCAATAAAGAAAGACCTTCCCCAAGAGCCAACTCCTTGATTTGCACTTCTACCTTCCAAAACTTTGAGATAATAAATTCCTGTCCTTTAAAGTCACCCACTTGTGGTATTTTTATTACAGTGGAACTAGGAAACTAAGGCATTACATTTATGTGCAATATCCCAAATAGGTGAATCTGTAGAAACAAGCAGATTGGTGGCTGTCAGAGGCTAGAGGGGGGTGGGGATGCTTAATAGCTATGACGTCTCTCTGTGTACCACAATTACTTGTGGTGTTTTTGTTACAGCAGCACCAGGAACTAAGATACACTTGAAGGGTTAAAAAAATATGCAATGATTTAATATCCAGGCTTTGATGTCAAACTTGAATTCAACGCTCACAGGTCACTAAACAGCTATGTGAAATTTAGTAACCTATTTAACATTTCTAGCCACAATTTTGGGAGCTCTGGTAGCATAGTGGCTAAGACACTTGCCTGCTAACCAGATGGCTGGTGGTTCAAACCCACCAGCCACTCCTCGGAAGGAAGGTTGGGCAATCCTACTTCCGTAGTGATACTGCCTCGGAAACCCAAGGAGGGGTCGCTATGAGTCGGGGTCGACTCCATGGACATAACAACAACAACAGCCACAATTTCTTTTTATGTAAAATGGGGATAATACCGTAGCTCATTGAGTAGATGTGAAGATTAGATTTTACCACAGAGCCTGCCATATATTGTTAGTATTCAATAAATGGAACTCAAGATTATTTAGTTTTAAGGAGCACTCTGTTTATCTGGAGTGGACAAAGAATTTGAGTGTTTTCCAGGCCTTTATCAATATCACATTAACTAAATATCTGATAAGCTAAGACACTATAGATAATCTTACTCGTTTTATCGAGAATTTTTATTATTATTACTTTAACTCTTAGGATGTCCCATTTATCATTCCTCTTCTCCAAATTCTTGACAGTCCTTATTGTAGCCTTTTTGTACAGGCTATATCAAGTAATAAAAGGTAAAATATGTCAACACCCAAAGAACAGCACCAAAGGCCATAGAAGTTCAAAGATTTTTAGTAGAGCTCATCAAGGATTATCTCATGAAGGAGGTGACATTCAAGATGATACATTCAATTGAGTGTAGTCCCCTTGAGCAGCTAAACACAATGATGATTCTGCTGTACTCTAGAGCTGTGCCGTGGCTACTGAGCACTTAAATCCATCTGGCTAGTCTGACTTAGGGAGCTCTGGTAGCATAGTGCCTAAGGCAGTCAGAAGGCTGGCAGTTCAAACCCACCAGCCACTCCTCAGAAGGAAGATGGGGCAATCTACTTCTGTAATGAAACTGCTTCAGAAACCCAAGGAGGGGTCGCTATGAGTCGGGTCCGACTTGACAGCACATAACAACAACAGTCTGACTTAAAGGTCACTGTTGTTGTTGTTGTTGTTTGCCATTGAGTCGGCCCCGACTCATAGCGACCCCTCCTTGGGTTTCCGAGGCAGTATCACTACGGAAGTAGGAATGCCCAACCTTCCTTCCGAGGAGTGGCTGGTGGGTTTGAACTGCCAGCCTTCTGGTTAGCAGTCAAGTGCTTTAGGCACTATGCTACCAGAGCTCCACTAGGTGGTGCAAATGGTTTGTGCTTGACTACTAACCTAAAGGCTGATGGTCAGAGAAAAATAGGCCTGGCAATCTGCTTTCATTAAGATTACATCCAGCCAAACCCTATGGAGCAATTCTACTCTGTAACAACAACTTAGGATGTGCTGTAAGTGTATACATGTTCCAGATATTGAAGACTGGGTACAAAAAAAAAAAAAGATCTAAATTTCAACTTTTTCATTTTACTTTTTAAAAATACGGCTATAAGAAAATATAATAAGTATAAGAAAACACAGCCAGAAGAAATTCAACCTGGACTCAGAAGAGAATGTGGGAAGAAGAATATCATTGCTGACATCAGAAGGATCTTGGCTGAAAGCAGAGAATACGAGAAAGATGTTTATCTGTGTGGTTTTTTTTTTTTTTTTTTTGACTATGCAAAAGCATTCAACTGTGTGAATCATGAAAAATTGATAACATTGCAAAGGCTGGGAATTCCAGTATACTTTATTGTGCTCATGCAAAACTTGTGCATAGACTAAGAGATAGTCATTAGAACAGAACAAGGGGATACTGAATGGTTTAAAATCAGGAAAGGTGTGTGTCAGGGTTATAACCTTTCACCACACTTATTGAAACTGTATGCTGAGAAAATACTACAGGAAGCTGGACTATATGGAAAAGAATGGCATCAGAATTGGAGGAAGACGCATTAACAACTCACGTTATGCAAATGACACAACCTTGCTTGCTGAAAGTGAAGAGGACTTGAAGCACTTACTAATGAAGGTCAAAGACTACAGCCTTCATCATGGATTACACTTCAACATAAAGAAAATAAAAATCCACACAACTGGACCAATAAGCAACATCATGACAAATGAAGAAAAGAGTAACATTGTCGAAGATTTCATTTTACTTGAATCCACAATCAATGCTCATGGAAGCAGTAGTTAAGAAATCAGATGACATATTGCATTAGGCAAATCTGCTTCAAAAGACCTCTGCACAGTGTTAAAGAGCAAAGATGTCATTTTGAAGACTAAGGTGCACCTGACCTAAGCCATGGTATTTTCAACTGCTTCATATGCATGTAAAAGCTGGACAATCATTAAGAAAGAATGAAGAAGAATCAATGCCTTTGAATGATGGTGTTATCAAAGAATATTAAATGTATCATGGACTGCCAGAAGAATGAAGAAATCTGTCTTGTAAGAAGTACAGCCAAAATGCTCCTTAGAAGTGAGGATGGTGAGACTTCTACTCACATATTTTGGACATATCATCAGGAGGGACCAGTCCCTAGAGAAGGACATCATACTTGGTAAAGTAGAGGGTCAGCAAAAGAGAGGAAGACTCTCAACAAGGTGGACTGACACAGGGACTGTAACAATGGGCTCAGATATAGTAATGATTGTGAGGGTGGCACGGGCCCAGTCAGTGTTTTGTTCTGCTATACATGTGGTTGCTATGAGTTAGAATTGACTGAATGGCACCTAACAGCAACAACATATAAAATCACATATTTGGGATATATGCTTCTGGCCAGTGCCCAAGGCATTTGACTGCAAACCGGAAGGCTGGCAGTCCAAACCCACCAGCCACTTCTAGGAAGGAAGGTTGGGCAATCTATTTCCATAGTGATAATGCCTTTGAAACCCAAGGAGGGGTCACTATGAGTCAGATGCAACTCAACAGCAGTGAGTCAAATGGATTAATAGGAATTGTATTCACTCTCTCACCAGAAACAATCAAAAAATGGACAAATGACAGAAAACAATGACTTGTAAGATACAGCATATTAGACAATAAAAGACCAAACCAAAACTAAACCCACTGCCACTGAGTTGATTCAGATTCTTTGCCTAGAGATGCTATAGGACAGAGTAGAACTCTTTGAAGACTGTAAATCTTTATGAAAGCAGAAGGACTCGTCTTTCTCCCATTGAGTAGCTGGTGAGTTCAAACTTCCAACCTTTTGGTTAGCAGCCCAACACTTTAAACACTGTGCCACCAGAACTCCTTCAAAGACAGTGATGGGAAATAAGTTATGTATGATTTCTCCAGCTTCCTACATTGACATAATTTCCAGGCCATGGGGCTGAGAGGGGAACTCTGAAAGACTCCTTGAT